CGATCACATCGACGATGGCCTGCTCTACTCACACCTCGTGAGGTGACTTTAGCTCTTCGTCTATACGCCATGGATGTGAATAGCTTCCAAAGTGTAGGTATCCCACTACTATACTACTACCACGTCGTAGGCCCAAAACTCTCTCCCGCCCCAACCCTCATCTGCACCGCCGTCCCCTTATAATCCACCGTGCCCGTGACAACCTCGTTCCCCCACCACTTCGGCGGATCAATCTCATTCAGCGTAAACACAAAGAAGATCACCAGCGTTGCCAGCGCCAGCCCCAAGTCCAACCCACTAGACGTCAAGAAATTCAACCTCGACCACCAACCAAAATGCTTCTTCTTGATCCAATACTGGAACACAAACCCTACAATCCCCCAGCTTAGATAGTTCAATGGCGTAGCCGGTGGGATCGAGCCCGCTCCTCCAAAGATAAGTGGTGCCATGAGGAAGCGTAACCATGACTTTGGGCGTCGTCGGGCGAGGAGATAAATCACTACTGGTGTGACGGCGCCGAGGATGAAGAAGAGGAAGAGGGAGGAGTAGATTTGTCCGGGGGAGAAGATCCTGGCTGGGCCGATGAGACCCCAGATGACCGAGGCGGAGAAGAAGACTTTTCCTCCGGGACAGCTGAAGTGTTCTGGTTGGGTGGGGGTGCAGACACCGGGTATGTAGTTGAGGGCGTAGTTGAGGGTGAAGACTTGGACGAAGCAGGAGAAGGTGGTGGCTACGACTTGGGCCATGAACATGGTGCGGGGTGGGATCTTCATGTAGTGGCCGAATTTGAGGTCGGAGACGAAGGTGAGGGCTTGGGACATGGTGATGTAGCCAAAGGTTTTGAAGCTGTGTAGCATATTAGTGTCCGGTTTTTAGGAGCACGACAGGAAATAAAATAAAAACCTACATCATGAGACCCAATGGCCGTCCAGGCTGGATATACCCATAGACAAACTCCGTCAGAACATTCAGGCCAATCTGGTTGTTTGTCACAGCCTGGATGATACCGATTGGTAACGAGAAGACGAAGGAGATGAAGACCGCCAACAAGAACGCCCACCAAGTCATGTTCGTCGGCCATGCCAACACGGTCAAGAAGCCGAGTCCAAGCATCTGTTTTCCAGCAAGTCAGCACTTTCCACATACTCAAAGCACACAAAGGTAAACATACCAGCCCAAACAGACTCATATACCACCACGTCGGCGCCTCCTTATACCTCCTCATCAGCTTCATATGAATATCCGCCTTCTCCGTCGTACTGCTCTTATACTGCCTCCAAATCGTCTTCCCATGGTGCAAATACGTATATACAATCAAGCTCGTGATCGCCGCAAACGACAACCCATACGACAGCGCAAACGTGGTGCTCAAAAACAGAGGCGAATAATTCTTATACGCCTCCTCGTCCAACCTATAGTCTGGCGACAGCACCCTCGAAACATCATACTGCTTCCCCGTGTTGTCATACGTATTCGAGTCGCTCATTGGCAAGTACCACGAGTACCACGCCCCGCTATAGTGCAGCGTCGCTGCCAGGAACACAAAGAACGTCAGCACACCGATCATGGTGTTTGCTATCGCGTGCCTGTCCCCATTTCTCGTCAGCAACCCCCTTTTTTTCCACACCGACACAGAACAAGACCTACCAAGGCGGAATCAAAGGACTCCCGACAAACCCACTAATCTGCGTCCAGTCAAACGTAATGGGCAACAGACTCAGCCCAGTACTGTACCCAAACAACTGATTCACCACCGCATTCTCGGGCGCCGTCCAAGTAACAAACGCAAAGCTGCTCAGAAACTGCGCCAAAAACCCTGGCACAAAATAATACACGCATGCCACCGCCGTCACGACCGAAAACCACCTATACCTAGGCATACTCCCCCCTACACCCACCCCTTTCCCGCCATGCACCGTCCCATCTCCCTCTCCCCCTTTCGTTTCCTCTTCCTCGTACATGGCATTCATAAGCGTAACACTAACCAAGTTCCCAGGCCAGATCATGCCGGCTGGATAGACCAAAAACCGTCTCATCATTCCCGCGATCCCATACCCCAGGCTTTGGGTTGAGATGGTCAAGAGGAGCTGCCACATCAGCCCAAAATCCTGCTTGTAAAACACCTTTTGAGCGAGAATAATATCAGTAGCGTAGGCAACACCAAAAGAAACACTCGCCATGACGACAATGATGGCGTGTTCTTTGATGTTGAACCCGCCGGGGTTGAGACGGAGTTTCTGCTTGACAAACGGGATCTTGACATGATAGTCCGGGACAAATCTTGCCCAGCCGTGACCCAGCGGCCACGCAATGACCTGGGCGATGAGGGCACCCAACGAGATGGATGGTGAGCGAAGAGAAAAGAGGGTGTTCATGCTTGCGCCGAGAAAGATGAGCGAGAGGCCAATGGTCCAGGCACGGATGGTGTTGCATGGTAGCGTTGGGTCATCGTATGGTGAGACAGCAGCGCGGACCTCGGGGTAGGGCGAGTTCTCGACTTCTTCTTCGTGGTCGGACGTCTCTAGTGGGTCTTGAGAGTTGAGTGAGTCGAGCTCCAAGGCGTCGGCTGCGTCCCCGTCATCGTGGGAAGGGCGTTTGTGAGAGCGGACAGATGATGGTGGGTGCCGGGGCAAAGGCCGGTGACGGTCTTCGTAATTGGCGGGCAGGTTGGGGTCTAGCAACAGCTCGTTCTCCGAGGTATTGTCATCATCATCGTACTCGAAGGGGTTTGTGAGGTGGTCGCCGAAGAGCGCGGGGCGAGCTTTGTTGAGGGATTCCTTGAGGCGAGCTACCGGGCTCCGGGGAGAGGATGCTTCTGGGGGTTCACGGCTCTGGGAAGGACCCGGTGTTGCTTTGGGGGTGATATCATGGTCCGAATCTGGTTCGTCTGCGAGGAGACGTTGTTCAGGGACAGCGGCGGATGGTTTTGAAGAAGATTGATCGGCCATGGTGAGCTCTCGTCCCGGTGGAGGGGCAGGGCGACAAGACGGGTACAAATTAGGTCATGACCGGTCAGTTGAGTGAGATGAGTGTTTTCGTCTGGTCAGATCTTTTCATAAGCTCATCATTTCTAAAGTCATAAATTGCAAGGCTGTGAGGTTCAATGAAAGAAAGAGCAGACAGATATTGTCAACAGAGTCCGAATGAATCGAATTCAGGAAGGAGGCGTGTACTCGGCGTTGGCGTAAGGTGAAACGTTCCCCGGGTTCGTGTAGCTCAGTATATATGCCAGATCAATCGAGAGAAAGTAAATAAACGCTTCGCTCCAAGCTTCAAAAAACAATTGAAAACAGCAGTATTTTGATGATATATAAGAGCCAAGGTGTAGTTTATTCAAGGCGCTTTCCGGCCAGGTGTCGCCCCGAACGGCCTTTGTCCCCACAATTCCCCCGTCGCAACAGCTTCGGACAGGGGCCCCTGAAGCTGAGCCGCTTAAGCTACCCGATAGCACTAACCTTAATCCAGTCTAGCTTTCCTGGGCGCCGACGTCCCATGAATTGTTTCTGCATTTGATCAATCATTTGTTGATCACACACTTTTCTACGGGAGACAGAGATGGACCGATCATGCGCCGTGTTGTAATAACAGGCCTGGGTGCCATCACCCCTCTCGGCGCCGGTATCCAGTCAACCTGGCGGCGTTTGCTGGCTTCCGAGTCGGGACTCGTCAGTCTCGCCCACCGTTCCCTTCAAGACCTAAAATGGAACGGGCTTCCAAGCACAGTGGCCGGCATTGTCCCAGTGCCGCCTGCTGACGGAAGCCACAGCAGGTTCAAGACAGATGAACTATGGCGGGCAGATGATTACTTCAAGGCTTCGGAGCAGAGGCGAATGTCGACTTTTGCGCAGTATGCTGTTGCTGCGACAGACATGGCCCTCAAAGACGCGGGGTGGAAGCCAACAAGACAGGAAGAGCTTGATGCCACTGGTGTTTGTCTGGGAAGTGGGATAGGAAACCTGCACGATATGTATGAGACGAGTGTTGACTTTGAGAGAGATGTATGTAGCTTTCCCATCCCCATGGATAGAACAACAGCTGAATGTAATTTGTAGGGCTACAAAAAGGTGTTGCCATGGTTCGTCCCCAAGATTTTGATCAATCTAGCAGCCGGTCATATCGCCATGCAGTATGGATTTCGCGGACCAAATCATGCAGCCACCACAGCATGCACCACGGGCGCACATTCCATTGGAGATGCATCCAGATTCATCGCCTTTGGTGACGCTGATGTCATGGTTGCTGGTGGTGCCGAATCATGTATCCACCCACTGACCTTTGCCGGCTTCGGGAGGTCGAAATCACTGTCTCGGGCATTTAACGACAATCCTAGAGCAAGTTCTCGGCCGTTTGATGTGGAGCGTGACGGCTTCGTGGTGGGTGAGGGGGCAGCTGTTCTTGTGCTTGAAGAACTCGAGCATGCCAAAGCCAGAGGGGCCAACGTTCTGGCTGAGATTAGGGGATATGGATGCAGCGGAGATGCTCACCATGTGACAGCGCCGAGGGGAGACGGATCAGGAGCTCTGGCAGCTATGAAGAGGGCTCTGAAAAATGCTGGACTGAAGCCAGAGGAGGTGGACTACATCAATGCTCACGCCACCGGAACACCAACTGGCGATGTCGCCGAGGCTGCCGCCATCCGGTCCTTGATGATGGGTGAGCAAGGTATGGAGAACGAGAGTCAAGTTACTGTGAGCAGCACCAAGGGGGCGATTGGACATTTGCTTGGAGCGGCTGGCTCGATCGAAGCTGTCTTTTCCATTCTTGCCATTCGAGACGTAAGTTCTCCCCGTCCAGACACCTATCCTACGTACAAACTGACAACTTCAGAACGTCGTCCCGCCCACACTGAACCTGAAGAGACCAGATGTTGGACCACAGTTCAACTTTGTGCCCCACGAAGCGCAGCAGAAGAAGGTCAAGGTGGCCGTGTCAAACAGCTTCGGCTTCGGAGGAACCAATGCCTCGCTGGTATTCTCCCAGCTGGACTAACTGCATAATACAAAACTGTAACAATTACACAAATGAATTCAAGTGTGAGACGTCCTCTTCTTTTGTTCGAGACAAATATCTCAGACAAATATCTCACCCTCACATTGTCCAAGCTTCAAGCCACTGCATCATGTATGACTTTTCCGCCACTCAACCCCAACAGCAACCGATGGTTTCGTGGTGTAGTTGGTTATCACGTCAGTCTAACACACTGAAGGTCTCCAGTTCGAGCCTGGACGAAATCAGAACCATTCCGGCAGGACTCATAAATCCCGCAAACTTCTCTTTTTGCCCCCCTGGTTGAAACTATTCCCCTGGATATCCCTACATTGTCGACCCTAACCCTTATCAACAAAAGCTCCCTCCAACGCCAAGACAACTTTTTTTGAATCAAAGCTCCTTTGAGCTCCATGACGTTGAGCTTGGAAGCTCCCATATCCCTCCCTCCGCAACAAACCCCCAGAAACACAATAATGGCGACCCCAAGTTGCTGTCGCGCCAGCCTGTCAAGGCGACCAATCTCGATACTAGGTCAAATACACCCAATATCCACCCAAACAAGCAGAATTCTCTCTTCACAATGCGCCCGCGCAGCAGTCCCCTCCCCAGCATCACCATGTAGCAGCATCACCAAAAGACCCCTCCACACCACCCCCAAACCCCAAATCTCCCTCGCCGAGATCCTCAAAAAAACCGGCATAGCCCAGACCACAGGCAGGTCCTACATGATCTACCAAGCCACCGAGCAGCTCCACAAAGCCTGCGCCGCCCAGGCAGAGTACACCATCGACCCCGAAGACAGGAAGGCGTCCAAGCTGAAGCACACTCCCGACGGGGAGGAGATTGGGAGGAGCGGGGGCGGTGGTGGGGAGGGAGGTTCTGCCAAGGGGGGTGTCTGGCATGAGGGTTTTGTTTCCCCCCTTCTATCCCACCAACCAAACTACATGCTAATGTGATGGACAGAAATGGGACTACTACCAACATTCAGTACATGGTCCCAGGTCACCATGCTACACATGTACCTCCTCGTCGTCCGCTTCCGCGACATGCCCAAGATCCAACAAACGACCTTTCAGGACGGGCTTGTTAACCATTTCTTTTATGAGGCGGAGGCAAAGATGGATCTGGTGCATAATCTCACGTCGAGGGTGATTAGGCAGAAGTATCTGAAGGATTTGTTTGTGCAGTGGAGGGGGTTGGTGCTGGCGTATGATGAGGCCTTGGCCAAGGATAGCGATGCTGTTTTGGCCGGGGCGGTTTGGAGGAATTTGTACAAGGCTGACGAAAATGTGGACGTGAGGAGGTTGGCGGCGGCGGTGGGGTATATGAGGAGGGGGATGGCGGATTTGGCGCATAAGGGGGAGGAGGATTTGGTGATGAAGGGGAAGAGGGTGTTTGATGAGTGGGGGGGTGTGAAGGCCGAGTTGAGGGGGGTGGACGTGCCGACTTCGCAGGTGAAGGGGCTGATGGATGCGGAGGGGTTGAGCAGTAGTGAGCCGGCTGTGAAGGAAGGTGTGAAGGGGTCGAGGTTCGGTTCTTGAGGGGAAGAAGGCGGGGGGAGTGTACGATATATGGAATGTATTATATCCCGACCAACACAGTACAAAAACCGCCATCGTTATACGTTCCGTGCCGTGAACCTAATCAACCCTCTCCCACATCTCAAACTCATACCCCGTCTCGTCGTCTGTCCCCTCCTTTTCCACCTGTCGTCCCCTGGGCACCTCCTCCCCAACCCACTCATCCATTTTTTGCTGTTCCACCCTCTGCCATTCCCCTCCCTCCTTGAGTTCCAACGGGAAAACAGCATCACACTCCCACTCCCTCTCCACCCTCGTCAACAAAACCCGCCTCGTCTCTCTCAACCCGAGCGCAGCTTTATAGATCTCCGCCCCACCGATAACAAACACCCTCCCCGCTTTCCCCTTCCCGTCCTCCCCAACCCACTGCAGCGCCTTTTCCAGAGATCCAGCCCAGAGTGATTTGTCTTCCCGTTTTTCAACCCCCCCGATGGAACGACTGACAACAATATTTAACCTGTCTGGCAGAGGGCGGAACTTTGCCGGGATGGAGTCCCATGTCTTGCGTCCCATGATGACGACGTTCTGAACATTGGGGGAAGGGGAGCGTTTGGTGACGCGGGCAAAGTAGGCCATTTCTTTCTTGAGGGAGGGCCAGGGGAGGGTGCCGGAGAGGCCGATGCCCATTTTGGGGGTGGAGGCTAGGATGAGGGTTAGTTCTCTCATATTTTGGCTGTTTTGTAAGAGAAATGATATGTTTGGGGGTTGAGGTTGGGATGAGTGAAAGGTGGTGTGGTATGAATCAGATGCACGAGGAACGAGAAAATGTGGGGCGGGAGAAAAAGGTGTGAAACGGGGTGGTATGATTGGCTGGTTGTGTCTTTGAGATGACAACTTTTCGGGGAGGTTAGGTGAGCGATATGGATGGATACAAAGTTGAAGAGATGTGTGTTCTGCAAGACATCGAGGTGATTATGGAGGTTATGAGATTTTGTTCAGAGCTTTGACGAGTTGATTTCCATGCTTCTTGAACCTGGTGATTTGCATTTTCAGTTGACCCAGGCCATCATGCAAAGATCAACCATATGTACAAGTCTGTTGATACAATTTTCTATCTCCCCACCTCACACACCAGCTTATGGATTCACGGAATTCGGCCTAATAGGCAACAACCTATCCATCGCCCTCCCGTCATCCAACGCCCACCCACCCGTCGTGTCCAACTTGTACGTCACCCCACCAACCACGATCTTGGTGAAGCCCTCCCTGCTGAACGACCTCACAATGCCCGGCCACACCCCCTTGAAAGCCTTCTTGGCGTCCCTAAACGGAGCGGTGAGTAGATGGTTCATGGTGTACTCCCTCTCCTTCTTGGCCGCCTCGATCGCGGCCCTCTGCCTCCTGACCTGCTCAGCCACGCTCAACGGCTCCTCGACCGCAACGCCGATCCGCTTGTTGTACTCAAACATGCTGCTCATCCTGAAGGGCAGCTCAATCTCGTGAGGCATGTAGAGCTTCTTCTTTGGCTTCAGAAAGGGGAACATCCTCTGGGTGGTTACTTCGATGTACAGGGGACCCTGGCCGGAGGGTTTGGCGGCTGCTTTGACGAGGGAGGAGGAGGAGGAGGAGACGGCGGTGATGGTCTTGATGATGCGGCCGGTGCCCATGATGAAGTAGGTTGCCATGGCGGCCATGGCGAGGCAGATGACGCCGTAGGCGTGGGGGATCCACCATGCCAGGCCTTCGGGGGGGTGGAGCTGGATGGTCCAGTAGTGGTAGACGGAGTAGGAGATGCAGAACATGCCTGAGGCGAAGCAGCCGGTGCGGAACCAGAGGTGGGAGGGGGATTCGTAGAGGAGGGTCCGGGGTTTTTGGGCGATGATGTTGGCGTAGGAGGAGGCAGGGGCGCGGGTTGAGGCGAGGAGGGGGGAGATGGAGGGTTTGGGGACTGATTGGGTTGGTTTTACTAGGAGGGAGGGTCTGGGGGCTGGTGGTGTAGGGACTTTTGGTTTAGGGGCTTTCTTCAGGAGGCGGAGGGAGGTGGTGAAGAAGCGGGTTTGGAGGGGTGGTGGTGTGCATTTGCAGGATGAGAGTTGGGTTTGGCGGAGGGTGAAGAAGTGCCATTGAGCCGGCAGGCCTCGGGAGAAGGAGGCCATCTGAGGAGATATTAGTTCGGATATTATTTGTATTAGTTTCCTGAAATCTAGAAGCTATACCATACCTTGAGTAAAGGCGGTGCAATTGGCTGGCCACTTACACGATGATGTAGAGGCCTTGTCACTTTACGGCACCAGCCAAAAAATGTCGGTGCCGGCGCAATGTTTCGGCGACAGGTGCAGCTTGGCGTCAGTTGCGATAAAAGAGATTAGATTACGATTAGATGCGGACGGCTTCTCCCGAGCTGAGGTGACAAACAAGGAACATGGGGGTCGACAGCGTGGGAGGAAGTGGGTTTCTCAGTCGCATTCTTTGGACCCTGGCCCTTGAAGCTCTCGACTGGATCCATCAAAAATGTTTAGTCGCAGGTGGCCCAAGCTTTTTTGGTGGCTCCCCAACCGTTCTTGAAGCTGGCACTTTGGATACATAATCCCAGCTCCCTTCGAGACCCTTTGAAAGGTCCCCACGTTCGCAACCTCGTCGGAGTCCACCAGCATCGTCGTCATCATCATGGCATCCTTTGCGGCTGCTTGCCGCGTGTCTGCGCGCCTGGCCACCAGAAGACTGCAGCAGGATGTCACAGTTAAAAGTCTGTTCTGTTGAGCTCGAGCACAGCAAAAGCCCGCGTCACTAATATGCCCTCATATAGGTTTCCGAACATCGGCCGCCGCCCTTGCGGCTCAAAACTTCACCATGCCCGCCCTCTCCCCTACCATGACCGAAGGCAACATTGCGAGCTGGAAGATTAAGGAGGGCGAAAAGTTCCAGGCCGGCGATGTGCTCCTCGAGATCGAAACCGACAAGGCGACCATGGATGTGGAGGCCCAGGAGGACGGCATCATGATGAAGATCATGCACGGCGACGGAAGCAAGAGTGTACAAGTTGGCACACGGATAGCAGTCGTCGCCGAAGAGGGTGATGACATTAGCGCCCTCGAGATTCCCGCTGACGAGGTCTCCGCTCAACCTACCAAGGCTGCGGAAGCTCCGGACACCTATACTCCGGCTCCCCCAAACCCCTCCGAACCCGCCGAGCCACCCAAGTCCGACTCCACCCCCAAAGCCGCCGTTAAGCCCGGACACAAGACAACCCACAGGACCTATCCCCTATACCCATCTGTCGAACACCTCTTGAAGGTTAATGGCCTCGACAAATCCGAAGCCAAGAAGATCACCCCCACCGGACCCAACGGACGTCTGCTCAAGGGTGATGTTCTGGCTTATCTCGGCAAAATCAAGGCCGACATTCCTGCCAAGATTGAGTCCCGATTCGAGAAGCAATCCCACCTGGATTTGAGCAACATCAAGGTCGCTGCTGCGAAGCCTGCTCCTGTTGGAAAGTCCGCCAAGGAAGCCGCTCCTGCCCCTCCTCCGGCGCCCGTCAAAGCCACTGTTACTCTCCCCGTCTCCTTGTCAGCGGTTCTCCAGGCCCAGAAGAAGATTAACGACTCCCTCGGCATCTTCCTCCCTATCTCTACGTTCATCGCCCGCGCCACCGACTTGGCCAACGACGAACTTCCGGTGCCCAAGGGGTACCAACCCACAGCTGATGAGCTCTTCAACCAGGTCCTTGGTCTAGACAAGGCCCACAGCGGAGCCAAGGTGTCCAGGGGTGCCTACGTTCCCCAGGTAGGCTCCCTTACTCCTAAGGGAGCTGTCCTTCCCAGGCCTACTGCTGCGCCTGCGAAGAAGAAGGACATCTTTGACATTCTGGCTGCCAGCCCTTCACCCAAACCCAAGGCCACCGCCTCTAAGCTGTCCCCCGGTTTGTCGGCTGTTGGACCCAACGTTTTCAGCCTGCAGGTCCCCAGAGACGAGGAGAAGAGAGCAAAGATCTTCTTGGAGAGAGTGAAGCTGGTGTTGGAGAATGAGCCAGGGCGGTTGGTGTTGTGATTACAAACTCTTCTTTATTTTGCGTTTTCAAAAGGATGGTTGTGTCGGAGTTTAGCATGATGAAACGGGGCAAGTATAGATGTGTTTATCCATGGGCGTGTTTTGCGTGCTTACTGGTTAACTTTGATATGTATAGAATGTATGAATGGGCATATATGACTGGCCACTTTTGTTTCTTCCGTAATCCGGCTCTTATGCTCGTTGATTTAAGACTTCCGTCGGCACTCATTTTCAGACTTTCAAATTCAACCGCTAATGAATAGATTTGCCAGCTTGGGTACACATCGGTCTCCGACCCATCGTCCTCTCCATTTACTTTTAGTTACCCTTTCCAATCACGGGATACAAGTTACCGTTCCTCCACACCGCAGCTCCATTAGCTGCTTGTCACGATTATTTTCCTTATCTGCCCTTACTGATAGGATCTACTAGCCATAGGCTATCCATCCTCTGCCCCTAGTTCCCGCCAAAGTCCAGCAACCGCGTGAAACAACCTCGAACCCAGGGACATGTCTCGTCAAACCGGCCAACGGGAACAGAAGGCACGTTTCGCCTGCCTCATCAAACCGTCCCTTCAAGTCGGAACCGAGAAAGAAGGGGCCCAAGACAGCTTGATTCCACTTGCTTCCGTTTATCTTTCGTGTCTTCGTCACCCGAGACACCTGCGAGACAATAGACAACCTGCTCAATGTTAAACCTTCCAAGGCAGTTTTCAAAAGCCCGGTCAGACCTAGGGGGTATTCATCCTTTGATCGATATTCTCTCGGGGTGGAGAGGCATATGATTCATTCCTAGCTGTCAAGTCCCATAACCCCACGTAGAGAGGAACGGCTCACAAGTCCAACTTTGACACCAGCTTTGACACAAGCACAAAGCAACCCTCCCAGCCGGCATTGCCGTACTTGTTGAACTTTGTGTTGGGGTCGGGTACTCGCCTCGATTACGCGCAAGCTCGTTGCCACAGCATGGATACAAGAATAGTTGCCTATCATCAGTGAGAGGTCAGTTTGACGATGGATGGAGTTGAGGCGAGCAGTTTACACAACGCAAGAGAAAAAAGAACTCATCATTCCACATCTTTATGAGAGTTGCCAGGCAACCTGCCAGCTGCAGTATTGTCTATGACAAGAGACCAATTGCTAATTTGTCTACAAGATTGAGGGTAGGTGATCCAGCTCCATTGCACCAACCCCACTAAGTCTAGACCACCCAATTCTAATTTCCTCTAGACTGATTAAGTCCAAGGTAGACTCATCAGCATCTCCCGACCTAGCTGGCCAACATGTATTTAATAGATATTTGAGAGTCTGCCTGGAAGATCAAAAAGAAGAACTCATCATCCCACAGGCGCCAACCAAGCAAACAGGCAATCCCATCCCCCCCCAAAGTGATCAAACCCACTTCATTGCACGATGGCTCACCCAGAAACAAAGTCTGGGGGGCCCTGCTATTTTCTTTCTCAGTCATCTAGCTCAACTGGGTTGATCAAGTCCAGAGCTATTGCTGATGATTTGATGATACATGGTGTTATCCTGGGCCATAAGTAGCTGACCAGGTAATTACATGATGTTTTTTTTTCATGAGAGGACTCGAACCTGTGATGTTTTGACATCTGTGGTGGTGACTGAAGGGGGACAGAGCCACCTACCGCTTAGCTAATGCGGTAGAGCTCTTGGATTTGTTGGGGAGGACGAGGAAGTTGCTGGCTACGAGGGGAAAGTTATGGGAGTAGCTGCTTTCTCTTTGGATGGGGTGGAGATGGTTGGTGAAGGGGCGGGGGGTTGTGGTGAGGCAGGAGCGAGTGATAAGCTCTCGCCTCGAGAAGCTAACGTCGGTCAAGCGGTTGGCGTCGTTGGTGTCCTTATGCTCGCGCAACAGGATAGTTTTTAGTGTACCGGGACCGGCTGTCATTGTCGTTTCTCTTACAGCTGTAAGCTTATCACTTTAAATTTCATGGAGATCGACAATCAGTCTACCAACTCATCATTTGAGCCATCGCCTCTTTCTAACGGAGAGCAACGAGGTTCATATTAGCAGGTGTAACTTCATCAATGGCACAGTCGCCGCAATCCGGGTCAACTACATATGTCTGCAGCCCACGTACACAAATAGCCAGCTTGCTCGAGAAAAGGGGCAATCTATGCAGCGGCAGATATTCAGGGGCTCATGTTGAACAACTAGATGACCGACACCGCTGATTACAAGATGTCAATCCTCTCCTTGACCAGCTGACATCATGTGCAGTGAGCCATGTGCCCTATGTCCAACAACGGACAACGAGGCCACAAATACACGGCGCAATGGGCGACATATGCTCCATGTGGTCACCGCTTCCACCGCACCAAACCAGCTATGCAGTGACAGTATCCCCGACTCGACGACCCAGTGAATATCCAATATTCAGAGGAGACTTAGCGCACAACTGTCATCCCGCAGTCATGAGTTCAGATGGCAGAAGGCAGCAGGCAACGTCTTACCTTACCCAACATGAAGGCGTCAACCACCAAACCCTTCAACCCAGACATGTTTCGGCTAATAGTTGTACAATACAGACCCTGTGAACAGCACATCATTCTAACCGCTCAGCTCTGACAGATGCGGTCCAGGCCAGGGCCTCCAACAACCAGACCACGTTGAACCAAGACATACTTGCAAAGACTCACCTTAATCTTCTTCTTGACCTACCTTACCCACGATAGCTCAAACAGCCCGCGCCGCAGCCTCCTTCCTCACCGTTTCTCACTCATGCATACCGCCAACCCAGTCCATCCACACATGCAGCTCCCAATATCTGCGTAACATACCTACCTACCTTAGCCCTTTTCCCCGCCCCCAAACCCGCCCCCATGATCACCTCAGGGTCCACGATCATCCCCATCACAGCAGCTACCCACAGGTCAATCAATCTACATCTATCCCGTGTCTCCCGAGTTCTCCGACCCCGATTTCGGCAATATCCCCCATGCTCCGGTCCAGGTTGTGATTCCTAGTATCCAGCCGGGGAGACGGAGGCAATCATTCTCTCCCACTCCTCATCCATCCCGTCCATCCCCTCCAGATCTTCCCCCTCCTTTTGAAAGTGTGTATGCTGTGCGCCCATCCTTTTCATCCTTCCTCCGAGGTGGCGTTGCGAAGGGTATGAAAAATATTCCAGCGAAGACCTAAGCGGTGAGAAACAACCAACCTCGAGCTCAACCGCGCAAACAAGATGATATGAGATAAAGAAAAAAAATCTTCAAGCACCGTACATACATGTGTATGCACATAATCATGCCTCTGAGTTGATGTTACTTACTGATACACAATCCCTCATGCAAGCACTTTAACCCCCAGCCCCTGCTGATGAGGGGGAAGGCAGGCAAAAAAAAAAAGGGATCTTACCTTACCCCTCCATGAAAACCAGCCCCCAAAAAAGGCAAGATTCTCGTCGGTGTTAATGTACAGAGGGATTCGAAGGAAAAAAGACCAAGGAGATATCATGTAGTGTAACCCCCCGGCTACGGCAAGAACCAACTGCAAGCCCATGGCAAAAACTTCTTTCTCTTCAGCACCGGCAGGCAGGGTAGGGTAGGATAGGATGTTCTCAGACCGCTATTTGATCTGTTCTCCCACCACATATCGATACCCTCAAAAAGAACAAGTGAGGGGTCAAACGATCCCTCCCTTCCTTCGCGAAAGGAAACGAAACATGAAGCTACTGCGCTACAACCTCACAAATAGATAGTCCCCTCGGGGAAAGACATTCTCTGCAGTAGTCAAGGTAGGTAAGGTACCTTATGGTGCAATACCTCCGGCCGTCTTGCTGGTCCCTAGCTACTTACCAAGACCAAAAAATCCCATGTTTTGTGCTGCCTGTGTGTGCATTTACCCCTCCTTTTCTTGTCGAAGCGCCGCCGGCATATAACCACATGGAAAAAGATTTGCAACCAAGAGGAGCGGTGAAGGGAAGACAAGAGGTGGGTAGGTAGGAATTGGCGTATCATTTCTTTGCCAATCCCATTTACCCCGCGCGGGCGCGTGCGCGTCTAATGTGCCGTTTTCTTTCTTGAGGAGCTAACAAAGCACATACCTGATGGACACAGGATGGAAGCGAGAATGTCAGACCTCGTGGTGGTGGTGGTGGTGTGGAATATCTGATTCCCTTGTGGTCCGTGTGTCAGGATGGAAGCGAACCACACACACTATTCCCCCCTTCACCGTCCCATTCGGCTCTCCGTGTGGGGGTTTTGACCCAACTTTGGTTCCCTTCAACATTCGCTTACACTCTGAAAAAGTACACATTTTCTGGGGGATGTGTCAAATTTGGTCATCCTGACCCACTATTAGCAAAATTATCACCTTGACAGTAAAACCTGAGCTACCAGGTCTAGCTTCACAGTACCACTTAGGAACTCTCCTTTACATAATATTAGAATTGACACAATTAATTACCTTTTACTATATTTAATAATTTATAGTTAAATTATTACTATAAAGTAGTTTTTTTTAAAGCAATTGTAACTATATTATTATTAATAAGTTGCTTAATAAAGTATTTAATAATTAAACCTAAAAAAAACTATTGATTTAATTTTTAATAACAATTAAAAGTAGTAAAGATTATGCTCTATATATGCTTGTGGGCTCTATATAGACACGCATTTACAGTGCTCGCGACAGCAGAAGACTCAATATCTGATACTTATAGCTCACTACTAAAATGTACAGTTACAGCGCCTTACAGCGCTGAGCAACAAAATTATAGAAAATAACCTTCTATATTTAAAATAGTTTATTTACTATATACTAACTTATAACCCTATAGTGAAGCTTGTACTTCTATTATATACTTCCCGACGGCCTTATAGAGCTTCACACACTACAACAAGCAAATAAACTAAAGTTCAGCTTCACAAACTAAGATTTAACTATATTTCACTAAAAATATACCCACAGCTATACAAAATAGAGCAAATTTGGCTACCGGCTTACTGAGAGTATAGGTTATTATAAGTCAGTTA